TTACGTTATGATTTTTTTTATCCCCTTTTCATTTTTACATAAAATCTCGTTTTTCACTTCCTTGGTATGAACATCTTTTTTTTTTTTATAGTTTTGTTATGGACATCATCTCTATCTATTGTTGTTATGTTATTATTGTGTACACACACCACCTCTTTGGCTAATGTCGGTATTCGTAATGCACAATAATCTGTCACGCTTAAAAGGTGTCTAACCTATAGATATTTGAGTGAGCCCTTAGATCCAAGATCAACACACTAGTCTTTGGCTAGACATCTTTGTCCCTTGGACAAAACACAACTCAAACAACCAATCAATCTGGAAATGTTGCATGCAAAATAAAATAAGCATCAGGATATCATATGCAAAAATTCAAAACTCTTTTGAAAAAGAAGTGAGCCATTATGGGTTTAATGTTTTTCTTATTATAGAAGATAATTCACACATATAAAAGTGTGTGGCCTAAGTCAGGAGAAGGGAGAGAAAAAAAAATATAAACCTCATATATTTTTTATGTGTAAGAGATAAATTTATCTCCTACAATATAAGAAACATTAAACCTAAGATTATACAGTAAATGATTCTTTTTCATTTGTGAATGAATTATAAATAAAATTAGACGAGCCAAGAAACAAGGAAGCACGGACACTTGTAAAAATAGGGAGAGTCGTGTCCGACACGCTCCGACACGGCGTCGGACACGCGGTCAACTTTTTCCGACACGTTGACTATTCCGACATGCGAATTTGACCGTGTCTAACACGGTCAAATGGCATTTTCGTAATTTTTTTTAATTTTTTAAAAAAATTAAAATATATTAATAAAGTTTCCACCTGATCATATCAATTTTATTTTTTTGTCTTTTTTTTCCTTAAGTAGATAAGAAATCATCTCAGCATCATTGTTGTCAATTCCTATCACGCTCTTGTTGTATCTCCTTCTCTCTGATCTCTCTCTAATATGATTTGATCTCTCTATCTGATATTATATCTCTCTCATCCCTGTTCTTATTTTTTTATTAAAGCTTCCATATTTATAACGTGTTGATGGGTATTATTAATTTAGTTTCATTTTTTTGTTAAATTATTAAATATGAAATGAAATATACACTATATACATTAAAATTATTATTTAATATTAAAACGTGTCCCAACGTGTCGAAATTCATAATTTTTTAGGATTGACGTGTCGGAGTGTCGTGTCGTGTCACGTGTCGTATCGGTGCTACATAGCCAAGAAGTATTACCCTAAATGTTTGACCAAACAACATCCATTGAAAGATGTTGTAGAGAGTTTATGAATTCATGATAATTGATTCCACTAGTTAAATAAAAAATTATCAATTTACAAGTTCTTGCACTTAGCATTATTCATAAACTTTTGTTGGCATGACATATGACTTCAGACTGTACTCTGTCCTTCGTAATTGATCAAGTGCAAAATTAGAGTAATCAACACAAAAATAGGTCAAGAACACCAATTGGCACACACAATACATTAACGTGAAAAAAAATCACGGAACTTTTATCGGAATTCACCAAAATCCTCTGCTATTAACGTTTAATAGTAACAAGTACACAACAAACAATTTTTCTCTCTATCTCACGCAATCACGCGAGAGTCTTTGACATTCTTTTTCTTCTTATTTTCTGCCGCTGCAATTGATTTTAGGTTTAGGTCAATGGGTTGTGGATCCAACAAATCTCCACATTCGTGCCAATCGGGGAGGTAATTACCTTTGATTTTACGTGTCAGTGTCCTTGGAATCGAAGACTTTCCTTTCAGCTAAACTTTTCCCGACAAAAGCAATAGATCGATAAAATTGATCAAACCAAAATTACAAAAAATCCATAATGATAAAAGTCTTATATTTCTTTTTTGAAATACCTTCATTCTCCATTTGCGTGATGACCGAAACATTATGACGGCGTGCATGTAAGGTAAGACTTGGAACACCCAATGAGCTTCTCAAAATCACTTAGAGCCTCCTTGTTGTGCTCGAAACCACATGTGTCCTTGATCTCATCAAGTCGGAATCGTGCTTGGAGTCGAGCATTGTATCTCCCTCGTCTTTCCTCTTTTATTTGTCTCCAAATAAGCAAAGTCTTCTTATTTGTATCAATAGGAGCATGTAATTCATGACTAGTTTTCAAGAATGAGCTTTCAACAATTCCCTTCTCCTCTTGCAGACTTTCCAACCTTTTCTTCTTGTAAACCTTGCTAACTGAAGCCCTCGAAGACTTTTTGGTATCAATTTTTTTGACGAATAAAGGTTTTCTCATAGGTATGCATCCCTTTTTCATATGCAGAGACTCCATAGAGCTTTGATGTATCACAAACCAAGGTTGAGGTTTGTTAAAATAATAATAAGAGAAATTACCTCAAATCATTCTCACAAAAATAAAAACTATGCTTTGAAATAAAAAATATTAATGATTTTTGTTGACAAGGATCGATTTTCTCCTCAATTCCCTCAAATAAAAGTGGTAAGATTATCCAATCATCAAAAAAAAAAACTTATTCATAGGGAGATTTGTATAAATAAATTATTTTTCTTTCCTAGAATAAATCAATCAACGATTATATAATTTCTTTCTTTAAATAGATCAACCAACACTGTATAAATCACATATCTATATATAAATGAAATCAATCAAGTATGAATTCCTTTTAAATTCTCTAAATTTCTATAATTTTTAACATGAAAAATTTCCTCCACTTGATAAGAGAAAAAACCATTGACTTCAATTGGATAAGTTGAGATAAACTCAAATCGTTGTATATTAAGAGCTAATCAATCTTGAGAGCTAAGTGAAACATATTATACCCTTGAAATGAACTCATCCAAACCTAAACATTTAGATTTATGTAATAGTATTTGAGGGAGATTATATTTACTACCTCCTTTTCTTACTACCAAATTTTAATCGTTCATTTTCGTCAATCTAACGGTTATAATTTATTAGATCATATTTAATAATTAATTATTAATTTCCAATAAATTATAACCGCTAGATTGACGGAAATCAACGATTAAGATATGATAGTAAAAAGAGTTAGTAAATATAACCTCTCCCATAGTATTTTTTAATTATTATGCCTAGCTATTGAAATTTTGGCGTATCAGTTTCTTTTCTTTTTCATCAAAATTCTCTAATAAAAACTTTTTTATTTAATAAAAACTTAAATCATTATCACAAAAATAAAAACTATGCTTTAAAATAAAAAATATTAATGATTTTTGTTGACAATGATCGATTTTCTCCTCAATTACCTCAAATAAAAGAGGCAAGATTATCCAATCACAAAAAATAAACGTATCAGAGGGAGATTTGTATAGATAAATTATTTTTCTTTCCTAGAATAAATCAATCAACGTCTATATAATTTCTTTCCTTAAATAGATCAACCAACACTGTATAAATCACATATCTATATATAAATGAAATCAATCAAGTATGAATTCCTTTTAAATTCTCTAAATTTCTACAATTTTTAACATAAAAAAATTTCCTTGACTTAATAAGAGAAAAAACCATTGACTTCAATTGGATACGTTGAGATAAACTCAAATCATTGTATTAAGAGCTAATCAATCTTAAGAACTAAGTGAAACATATTCTACGCTTGAAATGAACTCATCCGAACCTAAACATTCAGATTTATATTTACTATCTATTTTCTTTACTACCAAATTTTAACCATTGATTTTCGTCAATCTAACGGTTATAATTTATTGGGTCATATTTAATAACTAATTATCAATTTCTAATAAATTATAACCGTTAGATTGACGAAAATCAACGGTTAAGATTTGATAGTAACAAAAAAAGTTAGTAAGTATAACCTCTCCCACAACATTTTTTAATTATTATGCTTAGCTATTAAAATTTTGGCGTATCAGTTTCTTTTCTTTTTCATCAACATTCTCTAATAAAAACCTTTTTTTTTCTTTAATAAAAACCTTTTTTTCTTTAATAAAAACCTTTTTTCCATCAACATTTTTATGGAATATTTTTAAAACAATTATATTCACTCTTTGTGTGATGATTATGTTATTGTTGTTAGCATTCTTACGTTCAGATAATACTTTTTTTGGTTGAATAAAATTTATTTATTCAATGATTGATAAACAAAATTAAATTGGATTATTAAAATTATAACTTTATAAACTGGGTTTAAATTATGACGCAATGAAAATTAAGTTTTGAGTTCATTAATTGTGATAAACTTTTGTATTTTTTCTTGACGATGGAGAAAAGAAGAAGAAAAAAATATACTCTCAAGTTTGATTACCAAAAAAAAAGATACTCTCAAGTTTTCGTGAAAATTCAAAAAATAATCTCTTAAAAAAAACCCTTACACTATAAGACAAGTTTGCTTTTTCACTTTCGAGATTTTACAATAATCAAAAGAAGTTAATCATTAAAAGTATTGCTAAAAAGTTCGGAGCTTTCTTAGTTCAAATTTAATCTAAAAAACCCATAGTAAATAGTAATGTATAAAGGGAAATCTCTACATTAGAAATATATTTTGCGTAAAAATATTTTATTACCTAATTGCAATTATCTCTATACACTTTCTAACTTCTCAAAGCACAATCATAATTTACTTTATATATTTTTAATTAATAATAAACAAAATGGTAAATATATTAGTGTAATTAAAATGATGGTTTTATTAGTGTTACGTAACATAATGTAAGTGTTCTTTTTAACTCTCACATCAAAAGGGAGAGAGAAAGTGGAATGATGAAAGAGAAAGAAAAACATATGGACCCCACCTCTTTAATGTGTGTGTGAGAAAGTGAAGTTATATTATGTTAAATAATAAATATAAAATCCTAAAATGATTTATAGGTGAGAACCACGCCTACGAAAGAAAATCACTTTTGGGCTTAGGCCCGTTTCCTTGACGGGTTCGGGCGACCCGAACTATCCTCTTCTAAACTCCCAATTATTCTAAAACCCTAGACTCACTCTTCTTCTTCTTCTTCTGATTCTGAAGAAAGAGAGTTGAGATTCCACAATGTCGATGTCGAAGAGTTCGAAGATGCTGCAGTACATCAACTACCGCATGAGGGTGACCATTCAGGATGGTCGCCAGCTCGTCGGAAAGTTCATGGCCTTCGACCGCCACATGAACCTCGTTCTCGGTGACTGCGAAGAGTTCCGCAAGCTTCCCCCCGCTAAGGGTAAGAAACCCACCGACGGTGACCGCGAGGACCGCCGCACCCTTGGCCTCGTTCTCCTCCGTGGCGAAGAGGTTATCTCCATGACCGTCGAGGGTCCCCCTCCACCAGAAGAGTCACGCTCCAAGGCCGTAAACGCCGCCGCATTGGGAGGCCCCGGCATCGGCCGCGCCGCCGGAAGGGGTATCCCTCCTGCTCCCGTTGTTCAGGCTCAGCCTGGTCTTGCTGGCCCAGTTCGCGGCGTAGGTGGCCCCGCTCCTGGTATGATGCAGCCGCAGATCTCGCGTCCGCCGCAGCTCTCAGCGCCGCCTGTCTCTTACCCGCCTACGGCGCAGGTGATGCGGCCGCCTGGCCAGATGCCGGGTTATCCTGGCCAGGGTCCACCGCCCATGGCGAGGGGTCCACCGCAGCCTATGCCGCCTGGTCAATTTGCTCCGCCAAGGCCCGGTGGTCCGCCGCAGTTCTCTGTTCCGCAGTTTGGACAGAGACCTATGGGGCCTCCTCCGCCTGGGCAGATGGTGAGAGGACCTCCGGCTCCTCCTCGTCCCGGAATGCCGGCTCCACCGCCTCCTCGCCCCGGGATGCCGCCTCCGCCTGGTGGTGGTGTTCCTGTTTATGGTCCACCTCGGCCTGGCATGCCTCCTCCGCCAAACAATCCTAATCAGCAACAACAGTAATGGTAAGTGTGTGTCTTTACTATTTTACTCTTTTTCTATTTTTGTTGTTGATGAGAACTTCTATGTTTTATGACAATGTAGCATTCTTTATTTTTGTGTGTAGAGATAGTGATATCTAGAAGAAATGAAAAGTGGTTCTTAATAAGTCCATGAGCCTGGCTGAATTTCTTCCGAATTTTTCCTATTTTTGGTTCTCGCCATATTCTCAAAATGTTGCTAAAATGTGAAATTTTTGTGTGTTACTTGCAATAATTTTTTTCTGAATGTTCGCTATTCGACTTGCTAAGAAATTGAAGTAAATATCGTTGTTGGCTGGGGTGGAAAATTGAGAAGTCTGGGGTAGGTGGTTCGACTTGTGCATGAGCTGGAATTTTCAGATGTGATTGGAGTTTGAGAGTGTGTTCTTTCTGGTTTTGGGGTTAGGCGTAGGAAAATCTGATGAAACTTTTCTCTGCGTGTACTTTGTTTCTCTATTTTGGTGGTCCTCTTGTTTTGATACCCTGCTATGGCCAAATTGCTCTAGTAGTTTTTTGTTGTCATTTAAATTGTATCTCTACTTCTGTTTAGTAGGTACCCCAACTGTTTGTTAAAAGGACTCAACCATATAACGTTGGATTGATCCTTTCTTTTGCAGTTTTGCTAGCATGTAGTGTTTTTCATGATGCTTCCTACTTGCTTACGAGTTATAAATTGTGAAGAGTTATTGTAGGATCAATGTTTTGAGGTTTAATCCAAATGGGCTGTCAATTTTGGGATAATGGATTCCCAATCTGAAGCTTGGTTGAATTGTTATGAATGACCATAAATTAGTAATTGAAATTAGAATCAAATTAGCATTTGGTGCCCTGCAATGTTTGATCTAGTAATTAAGGAATCATGCGCTATCTAGCAATCACATATCATTTTATGAAAAATGCTCATCCGTATGGTAAGAACTTGTCCACTAAAATAGCACCCAAAGTGGATTATGTGATGGAGCTTTATTGGGGCCACAAGCACAAAATAATAACTGCACTAATTTTGGTTTTAGTTTGTCACAACCGAGACTTAAAAAGTGTGATTCTTACAAATTTTAGGTCGTGATTTACTACTCTGTTGTGAACTACTTGGCAGATTTGAGGTTATGATAATTTGAATTAAGGTAGGCTCTGAGGCCCGAACTTAGTTTAAAGCTGAAATTTTTATATGGAACCTTAAATGTGGAACCTTAAATGTTGCTTGAAAAGTTTGAGTTTGTATAATTGCATATTGTATATGAGGAATTCTTTTCAAACCTTATTTTGGTTAGTTCTAACTTGAATTCAAGTATGAAAAGACCTATTGTGTGCCTCAATTCTCTTTGAAATTTTGTTTAGCTTTGAAAATGAGAGTTTTTTTACCCAAATACTTCACCATTGTTAATTAGGTGACTGTATGAAACATTAAGTTTCTGCAAGTTCATCTTTTGCTCGTCTTGACTTCTATGTAGGGACCATTTGTTAAATTTAGTTCTCTACTATTTTCTAATACTTCCTAAATTTGTGATTGTTTAATAGTCTATTTGATCCATTTTCTATGCAACAAAAATATGTTTTCCCCTTCTGTACGAATTTGTACATATAAGTATACTATTTGTGGTAGCCAAGGTATTATCTGTGGTGAACCGCTGGAGCTATTTTGCTAATTTTTGATTTACTGGGTTTCCTAGTGAGTTTTGAGCTCACCCCTTTGCAAATGGTTTCAGATTTGTTCAAGAACAACCATGACCACCTTGATGACATTGATTGCAATTGATTATGCTTGGGTGTAGGTTTCTGATGAGGGAGTTTAAGCTAATATTATTAAGGACATTAGGATTAACTTTGTGGATCCCTATGTAGTCATTGTGGATCCCTATGTAGTCATGTATCTTTCTGTTAATCAAGTCTTCTAGCCTTTTGTTACAGGAATAGATGTAAATGTGTAATGGAAAAGTATTCTACTCTTAAAAGTTTTTGCTAAATCGTAAATTTTATCTGAGTTGACTTTGAAATGAATGAAATTTTCAAACCAAGAATGGTTATGTAAATATGACAGGAATTTATGGTATGTAATTGAGAACCTTTTAAAATGTTTCAAACAAAATTGTTTTAAATAAAAGAATTGAGTAAACGACGAGTAACAAACTAGTATTAAGGAAAGTAGAATACTAGGGTTTAGGGTTCTCTGATTATGGGAAGAGCATCGTGGACCACAAATTTATGTGAACAAAATCTATTTTTTCCCCATGAACACTAACTGCACTTGATTTAATACTAATAGAATTCTACGGGGCTGTTGTACTGCTGTAGGCTGTAGCTATGGTATTGAATCTTTTTATCCAACCTCTTGTACATTTTTGTCTTGCTTCATCTTGTAGTTGATATAGTTTTTCTTGTGAGACCCCTATGTGGTTATTTAACATCCTTCATTTTTGGTCTCTTTTAAATAGGGAACTTTAAATTATTGTGGCAGGTTCTTCTTGCTGGTGCTCTGAAGATATGGATGGACCTTGGACTTCTTACGCACAGTTGAATATCCCGCTTGTACTTAGGAAGTGATTGTTGCTTGTATAACCATGTTGCTTGTATAACCATGAATCATTCTCTTGTTAGGGATTTATTTTTTTTAATTTTGTCTTGATGAGAATGAGTTATGTTAGAACAGTGTTTTGTTTTGGAGGAAGGCATATGAATCTCCTGTGTAGATTGTCAACAAAAAGAAAAAAAACAATGCCGGATTTCAAAGACTGCATATTGATTTCTGAGTGTAGGACAGGATCTGTGACCACTTATATCTTTCGGGCTATATAATATAATTAACTCCGGTAATGTTTCATGAACAATCTTTCTGTTTATCCATAGTAATTTTGCCACATTTTTTCTTAGTATAATATAGTTATTTTCGTGAAGAAGCAAATGTTACTTAGATGATTAGTTCTCGGGATGGATTAACAGAGTATATAATAGGGAATTTTCTGTGGGTGAGGAGCTGCCGAACTTTTGATATTGGCATCCTTAACTGTCTATATTACCTATTTTTCAAATTGTTTATAATTTCATAAATTATCTTCGATTTTTTTAATACAAGTTAAATTTATTTTATTTTATTATTTTTCTGTCTCTCTGTTTTCTTGTTAGTCCTTTTTAGTTAATATGTTTTTTAACCCAGTACCATATCTGCAGTAATTGAGCTTTTATTTTGGTCAACTCAGTAAGTGAACTTATGTGATTAAAATTTTACAAATATCCAACATGTCACTAGCTTGCCAATGACAACCCAAAATAAGAAGGGAATCAAGGATCTTGTGTGTCACAAGATCAACCAGTCTTTGCACGAACTTGAACAAAAACCTGGCCAAGGGTTTAGTATTTCGTCAAAACTAAAATTCTACCTTAAAATGTCTGAATAAAAGTTATTGGGAAAAATAAATATTATGTTTACGAAAATTCTTAGGTCATGTTATAATAGAGATAACCAATTGTGGGATTTATTATTTTTAAAATAAAAAAATGAAAAAATTGACGAGTCCATTTTTGTATTTGTGTAGAAAAATTATTTATGTCATGTAAAAATGTAAAAGGAGAAAAACATTACCAAAGTTATTTTATACCTCGTATATATGAGTAATAAATGCCAAAATAGCTCCTGGAGTTTATAATTTTTTTTGTTTCAAATTTTATCAAATTTCACAATATGCCTGAAATTTCAATGGGTAAATCCAAAGCCGGGTAAATCCAAAGCCCGGTAAATGAACCTAAAATGTTTTTTTGGTCTTCGATAAAAGATGTATTACAAGTAACTGAAGCAAGTGTTAAAAATAGGGAAAAAAATGTGTGAACTTTTAAAGGGCATAATTTTTGGTCCTTTTAAGAGAGATAAATATAAATAAGTGAGATTCATATTTTTTATTTTGTTTTTATTTTTTTCTAGTGAGACCTACATCTTTTTGTATCTATCTCTTTCTTAAAAGGACTTAAGTTTATGTCTTTTTAAGAGATACACACTTTTTCCTAAAAATAGTATTTTCGATTTTTTCTTTTTTGGTATGAGTGTTTTTCATTTATTATTGTGCAAATAAAATAAAAAAGTTAAAACTTATGGAGAGTAGTAAAAATGTTTCTTCAAGGCGACATCTCAACTCCGGCCAAGTAACATGTTGTATACTTTCAATCAATGTTATTAAACCCGGACCGGTGATCGACTCGGTCGGGGTACCGGGTCATTGGGTCACTGGTTTAACCGCATGAACCAGATATATATATAAATTTATATTTTATACTCAATTATATCATAAATATTTTAAATGGTGTAAGTAGTTTAATGGTAAAGACTATAATTTATATCTTCATAATAAGGGTTCGATTCCCACTAAATGGTATTTTGAAATAATTCTATTAAATGATAATATATATATTAAATGGTGCATATTAACTAACAAATAAACTCAGCTTAGTAGTAAGTTGTTGTTGGACATTCTCACAGGACTCGAGTTCGAATCCCAGCAGCTATAACTTTTTAGTTAATTATTGGAGAGAAGCGGGAGAAAACAGTTTTATAGATATGTATCTCATTTTCTTATAAGAATGAAAGGATAAAAGATGTGTCATTTAAAATGGCACACTTTTTTTATCTTAATAATAGTGTTCTTAATTTTCAACTTTTCAAGGGCTACGACAAAAATTGAAACCACTATCGCACCGGAAAAAAAGTTCCTAGTGTAAATCCATGGAGAGACGAGGAACTTCGATTTGAGAAATATATATAAGATAGACATGATTTATGAGCGAAGCAAAATTAAAAATAAATAAATAAATAAAAAAGCTTAAATGTGCTAAGCACCGTAGCCAAAAAAGAGAGCCTAAATGTGCTAACTATATAGTATTTACGACTTACGACGACACCGTACCAAAATAAAGCGCTCCCCTCGTTAATTTTGCACCCTTTTGTTTTTGTTTTTCCCAATTGAAGCCAGAAACCAGAGGGGGTTTTGTTCTTCTCAACAAGGCGATTGATTTTTCCTTCCATCCTTTTTAATTAGAGCTGTCAAAATCCGTAGGCCTTTCAAGCCTCATCTTCAGCCCTGTTTTTGGTAGGGTTATTTTTCAACCTATCCCCATAACCCTCTTGTCTATCGGGTTAAGATTGGGAGCTCCAATTTTTTTAATCAAATCCCTAATTTCTCTTTCTTCTCTTCGTTTCTTCTTCTTCTTCACAAGTTCTATAGCTCTTCTGATATCTTCTTCTTCTCCTCCTCCTGGTTCTTCTTCTTCGCAGTTTCTTCTTTCTTCTCGTTGTTCTTCTGCTTCTTCACAGAGGTATGATTTCGGTTCTTCTTCTCCTCGTTCAGGTTTATACTTGTCGCGTGGTAGATACATGATTTTAATAACGAGGTTCCAACAGCTGAGTGATATTGTTGTAAACATGCTTGGTTTCATATTATACTCTATTTTTCATTATTGTTTATTCTTTTTTACCACCACCCCTTACTGATTAATCACATTGTTGTTTGTGTTTCCTTAACTTTGAGCGGATCGTGAATCTTTTCGAGATGTGCTTATTCTCTCTCTCTCTATCTCTTTGCTGTTTAATTTATTTTAGTTGAAATATTGGTATGAGTTTAATTAGCTTCAATTTATAAACAGAAACACTAGTTTAGAGTAGTCGTTAGTGTTGTAGTTATATAACTTCATTTATGTATTTTTTTTTTTAATGAAAAATCAAAGAAAACATGAAAACTGATATCAATTTTAAAGATTATCCATTTCCAAAATATAATGTCAGTTTGATGTTCCCGTCATTACTTGTACATGCACGGGAGAGTTTAATTATTGAAATCTGCATCATTTCTGGATCAGGTATGGGAATTTGAAAGAGGAGACCGTTGAAGATTTATTTCAGTTTAGAACAGTTAGAAAAAGTAACAATATTTTTTTGTATGCAGTACAAAGAAAAAGATCAGTGGCTGTCAACTTCCCTTTATGCTTTAGTTAGTATACAAGAGTATAGGATCTTCGTAAGATGAGAGGGTGCATTTATTCATGTAGTACAAGAAGACCTAGATTTCTGAAATTGTAACTTTTGATGAATGATCAGTAAAAGAAGCAATCCTAAGAGTGAAGGCATAACAAAACATTGAATTACCTGATTCACACATTTACTGTTCAGGGATCTGATAAAAGTAATCTAGCCTTTTTGATAGTTTTTATATTGCCTTATAGCTTTCGAGCATAATGGGTTTGGCTGGAAAAGCTTATATTTGTAGATCTCAACCATGATATACATTCATTTCAAATATTGAAGCCTTATGTTAATTGCTGCTGGAGCTAAAACTAGGTATAAGTGGTACCTCATATGAAAATTTCATAAGAAGTATGCATTTGCCTTTGCAACTAAGATATACTGTTCTTTGATTTATGTGCTTTATTATTTCGCGATTTCCCTTGGGCAGAAACTGTTCTGTTGATGAATAGCAGATTTGGTTGATCAATACCTGATTACACTTTGTTTGCTACTTTGCTTCATGAATCCAGTCAAGTCCACCCAATTGTGGCATCCTTTTCAGGAGGGGCAGTTGGCGTGATTTTAGTACTGATTAGTTGATTTTTGGCCTGTGGGGCTGGCTATATGGGTTTTTGGCCCATGCAGGCTTTTTTATTTGCGGGCCTCTAGCCCGCACGGGCAAGGGTCTATTGGGGTGGGGTGGCCTGTTTTGACAGCTCTACTTTTGATCTTTGCAGATTGGGATCGGTGAGAGGTTGAAATTGAACCTGTTCTTTGCAGTGCCTCATCCATCTGCAGTTTGGGGTTCTCTTCATCGTTCTTCGACTTACCTCCGATAATAGGTAAATGATGAATTATCTTATTATGTTCCATATGGCTGATTTAAGCATGTTCTCTTTCAACCAAAGTTTTGAGCAAAAATGTATAGATTTATACATTATAACCATCCAGAAATTCTACAAGGATTGAATTTTCCAAAAAAAAAGGAAAATTAATTAGGATTAATAATTCTACAAGTATTAATAACTTATGGAATCTCTCTCTTCCTCCCATTCTGTTTGTCCATCATTGTCAGTATCCATGTACAAGTCATTTCACCAATTTCATGCCCTGTGTGGCATTCTTCTGGAAATTTATGCCTAATAGTATCATACTTTTCTTTGCTATATATTTCTTTCAATTCTTATCTGCCTCCATCCTTTCTATGGATCTCAAATTCATCAGTGGAACAGAGCTTATGATAAAGCCCTATATGACATCGTAGGGAAAGAAAGTTGAGGTGCATGGTATTTGGCTTTGAATATTAGACTATTAGTTGGGTTGCTTGGGTAAATGCATCTCTGCAGTGTCTGTACAATGTTAAATTCACCTTATGTATTGAGCTAAAGTGATTCAATTAGATATTAAGAATATATAGTTAAAGAGTAATTGACTTGTTTGGCACTGTTGAATCTTTCCATTGAGAAAATTGTTATTCTAGATTGGGCAGTTAAAAAAAGCTATTCAACTTTTCCTTCTATTTTGAGAACGATATAAAATGTAACAGTCGAATCTTGTTAGCAGTTCCCTTGCTTATATTGTTGAGTTTCAAGATATTTGTGGTTGGATGTTTGAAGAAATGGATGCTACCTGCCAAGTTGGTCTTTATTTATAATTATAATTAAATAGTGTCACTGTAGTCCATTGTTACTTATCAAAATACATGCCTCTTTCTTAATGTGAAGTTCAAATTATATACCGAGACAGTACATGAGTATACGTGGAGTTTGGATCCTCTCCATTTTCCTTGTTGAGATATGTAGTCCCACATTGGTTGTATGAGCAACTAATGTGGCCTTTATAAGGCCTTGGGCACTCCCACCATTTGAGCTAGCTTTTGGGGTGGTGTATCCCAAGGTTCTTTACATGGTATCAGAGCCTCGCCGCCCCCCACTTTCTCTTGTGGCGTTTCTTAGCACAGGTAGGCTGGGCCTGTTGCATTGTCCACTCTTCAAGCCCAATGGGCTCTTGTGTGAGGGGGCGTGTTGAGATATGTAGTCCCACATTGGTTGTATGAGCAACTAATGTGGCCTTTATAAGGCCTTGGGCACTCCCATCCTTTGAGCTAGCTTTTGGGGTGGTGTATCCCAAGGTTCTTTACATTCCTCAATAACAGGACAGAGTCCTTTTATGAAAGTGTTAGACACAAATTTTATTATGAACGGACCCATCATGATTTGTGTTGGGTCCACTAATATTATACAAATGCACTTTGTTTCTCTTTGTTTCGTAATATGACCCCTTCATGAGACTGAGAGAATTAAAATCCTATATAACTGATGTCAAATTTATAGCCAACTCTTTGTTTGGACTCGTCACTCCTGTATGCAAAGCTTGCACTAAAGGCATGGATTATTTTTAGGGAAAAATATTTTTGCTTTTGCTGTAGATTTGTTTTTTTTGCCACACTCACATAAAAGTAAACGGGTCCTATTATAATGAGAATAAAGAGGAAAAGTTAATGGAATATAATGAGATTCACTTACTTTTATGTGAGTGTGGTAGAAAACAATTATCTGTAGTAAAAGCAAAAATATTAAACCCTTATTTTTAACTTGATATAGACTGGCAATTAAAAGCAGTATAGAATTAATTGACTAGGGGATTTCAAGTGAAGTTTAGGGTGGTGTGCCTCAATGGGGGATTGATAAATTAATTGGAATTTTTGGGTAGTTTTAAGGCGATTGAACAAAAAAAGTTTTCTATATTAGAAAGCAAATGTGGTTGTTACCAAAATGTCAAAATTTTGTTGGTTTGGTAGACGTAGGCCTCAATACTGGTCCTAGAGTTAATATTATTGCAACAATGGAAAAGCAGCATACGCAGAATTAGGACTATTATGTAATTAGCCTAGCCCAGCGAATTGGTCCAAGATTTTATTTGGGCTAAGACAGTCCATGACCTGAAGATGAAACATTATCGGGGCCTACCGAATTTCCCTTTTTTCACAGTCTCTCTTTCTCTCGGCTGAAAAGAAAAGAGAGAGGAACAATATCTATCTATTCTTGCAGATTTTGTTTATCTCTTCTTGTTGATCGAGAACCTGCTAAAGTCTTACCAGGTATTGCCATGTATACAATCCCTATGTCGTTTCTTTTTTCCTGAAATTTAATCGATCAACTTATGTCATAATTTCTTTGCTATTGGGTTTGTGAGGGAAGGGTTTAGCAGTCAAATGTATGAATCGAGAAAAAACTAATCTGATTCTTTCATGTGTCAGAATATTTTGTTGATTGTATTGTATAGTTTTATAGTTTACTTGGAAAAGCCATCTGTTTCGCCCAGGGTTTTCATTCATCTTCCCTGTGATTTCGTAATTCACTTGGTCTTGTCAATAGCTGGGGTTTGCGATTTTGGCGTGAACTCAATGACATTGTAGCTTCTTGTTGTATTTCTTCTAAATCATTCAATGTTTCTGTTACTAGATTCTTCCAATTGACTCTACCTCTGCCTACTTCCTTTTTTCTGTGAGTTGACAATCATAAACCGCAACTTAGCCGCAGGGGTAACAAGAACAATGCCATCCTCATTTTCAACTTGTCATAATTACATGATTTGAGTGATTATAGTTTTAGTGTAGATGCTTATTCCAAAATACTGCTGCTGCTTGTTCTATTTTATAAGAATTTTAGCTGTTTTCCAATGCTTTGTTTTAAAAAAGAAGCTAATTTCAGTTGCATAGGAGGAAGGAATCACCTGGTTGGCAGGATTACTAATACCATTTTGTTTGATCTGAAACGTTTCATGCAGATTTTCAATGGGGAAAAATGAATTTCTCACACCTAAAGCAATTGCCAATCGAATCAAAGCAAAAGGACTGCAGAAGCTTAGATGGTATTGTCAGATGTGCCAGAAGCAATGCCGAGATGAGAATGGGTTTAAATGCCACTGCATGAGTGAAGGACACCAGCGTCAAATGCAAATTTTTGGACAAAACCCACATCGGATAGTTGACGGCTATACTGAAGAGTTTGAAAGTTCTTTTCTGGAGCACATGAAGCGCAGCCACCGATTCAGCCGTGTGGCTGCCACTGTAGTTTATAATGAATACATAAACGATAGACACCATGTTCATATGAACTCCACTCAGTGGGCTACGCTTACTGAGTTTGTAAAGTACTTGGGTCGAACTGGCAAGTGTAAGGTTGATGAAACACCCAAGGGATGGTTCATTACATACATAGATAGAGATTCAGAAACCCTTTTCAAGGAGAGGATGAAGAATAAGAGAATCAAGGCAGATATGGTAGACGAAGAAAAGCAAGAGAAGGAGATCAGGAAACAGATTGAAAAGGCTGAGCAATTGATGCAGCTACCTACTCCCGAGTCTGATCAGCCTTCACAGGTTGAGCCTCCGAGGGAACTAAATGTGGATGATGGAGTTAAGATAGGATTTTCTCTTGGGTCATCAGCTAGGCCTGTGACCAAGGAAAAACGTGAGGCATCGAGGGTGGTGTTTGATGATGAAGAGAAATATGAGGAAAGGAATTCTGTAAACAATTTGAAGAGGAAAGAAAGTGGTGGTGGAAAATCAGCTTTGGATGAAATGATGAGGGATGAAGAGAAGAAAAAGGAAAAAATTAACAGGAAGGATTATTGGTTGCATGAGGGAATTGTTGTTAAGGTTATGAGCAAAGTCTTGGCAGAGAAAGGGTACTACAAGCAAAAGGGCATTGTGCGAAAGGTGATTGACAAGTATGTTGGCGAAATAGAAATGCTTGAAAGCAAGCATGTACTCAGAGTTGATCAGGCAGAGCTTGAGACTGTGATTCCACAAGTTGGGTGCCGTGTAAAAATAGTCAATGGGGCATATCGTGGATCAATTGCTCGGCTGTTGGGGGTGGATACAGATAATTTTTGTGCTAAGGTGCAGATAGAGAAAGGTCCCTATGATGGCAGGGTACTTAAAGCTATGGAATATGAGGACATCTGTAAAATAGCCCAGTGAGTTTGCTAGTTGGATTGTTTGTTCTTATGTATCTGTCTCTAGTGTATCATCTTTATAACGTGCTACTGTTCTGTTTGGAATACTGAATTAGCAATGGATACTTGTTCATCAGTAATTTCAGTATCCAATGAATACTTGTTTGAAATGGATACTGCAATGGATACTTGTTCTCAGTAATTGCAGTATCCAAAATATGCAATGGATACTGAATTAGCAACGTGCTACTGTTCTGTTTGGAATTCTCATGGAATAGAGGCCTTCTTGTTGTAAATTGTAATATGCATTTTGCTATGTTGTGGAGCACTTACGAGAAGGTTGTCCGTGACGAAGAACTAGTAGTATCGAATTTTTCTTTGTACTGCTGTTTCAAACATGTTGATGTTAACTTAGTCATGGATAATTCAAGATTCTGTTAAAATTACAAATAACGAATTTGCAGAAGGAGGATATAAAATTTATCTTGTAGTACATAAATCACCTTATTCTAGTAGTCAATTGAATCTAAATAATATACAAGATAAACAAAGTGATATTGTGCTCAACTGTATTAACTGAGAAATAGGAGAAAGGATGTTTGTAGTATTTTGTCTACTTCACCGCTATGATGGTGATTTTATTAAAGCTTCCGCCATTGTAAATTACAGTAAAAGGTATTGGAAATTGGGATACCTTGAAAATGCAGTTCTGGAAGTTTTTTTTGTGAGCTGGTTGAATAAGATTGTAAAAAATAAGAATTTGACTCTTCTAGAGTTATGGATGCATTTAAAAATAGAGTGTGAAGTTATAATTGTTGAATGAAAAATAATTGACATTATGATAAAGTACATACAGTGCATAATAAATTATAGTTATTAAAATTTCTTTCTTTCATTTTTTTAATTAACGAAAAAAATATTATCTTATTTTTTAAAATGTATTCATAATGTTAGAAAAGTTAAGTATATATATATATTATGAAATAGATATGATATTGTGTCTAGCTATATTCTTTTACATATCTATTTTACGTACTATTTTTTAATTTAGAATATGGCTTTAAGTTTCAACTTCTTTGCTATTTTCTCTATTTTCAATTTTACTTTCCTTTTTTCATTTTATGTGATGTTTCTCAACTTCTCTCTTTAGTTCGTGAATAAATTTATTATTTGTTTTAAATAAAGAAAATCCTTGATGCGAATTTTTTTTTTAAAAAATAGTCTCTAAAATTCATGAAGTTTAAAGGGAATAGTTATATTTCATTTTTGTTTAGAAAATATTTTTTATTTTCTTTATTGATTATAATTTGTTATTTATTTTTCAAATTTTTTATAATAAAATATATAAATATATTTAATACAATCTTTTAACAAAAAAAAAAAACCATATAAAATGATAAAAATATAATTTTTAATCAACAAGTTGATGCATTATGTATAATATATTAGTTAATAAATTTTGTACCTAAATAAAAATTCAACATTTCAATTAGGGAGTTATTTTTTTCGTTTCATATATATTGTATTATTTTACTTTTATATATTAAACATAGCTATATATTGTATTACAAAGTTTTAAAAATAATAATTCAAGGATAAATTGTATGTCATTTTAAAGGATGTAAAGTTGTGTCATTTTAAGAGAGAGAAAAAAATAGATAAAAGAGGAGAGAGAGTTGACAAAAAAAAAACAAAGGTGTGGATCCCACCTCTTTGTGAGAGTAAAATAATATAAGTTGTGTCATTTAAAAAGATAAACACTTTTTCCATAATTCAATAATAATAATGATAATAAATCTCCACACCCAACAGGATGACAACAAGTGAAAAGTTACGGTAGTATTTATGAGATAGTTTTATCTTTTATATACATATAAAAATATACGAGATTTATGTTTTTTTTTTTTTTTTTCACATGAGCACATATGAGCTGCGTATGTTTTTATATATATATTAGAGATAAAATTATTTTCTATAATACAAAAAATATTAATCTCGTAAATAAAATAAGTGTCTATAGTCGCAACTCAAACTGATATTTTTGTTCCTTGTCCAGTCCAGGTGGCATCTAACATTCTAACAATATCTTCCCCAAGATTTTTAGATTTAATGGGTCCCACTAATGTCCTCTTCTGATAAAAATCTTCCATTCAGTGATGAATTTTTTCTGCTTATATTCATGATCCTAGGCCACATCCTGTATTATCTGTTTAGCTGTGTTTTTCGTGAAGCTTTAGTAGAAATGGAGAGTGAGTTGGTGAGACGCAGAATCAACCTGATTGCAGCCCACTTTGCACCCACTGATGAGATTTCAACCACCCATCTTCTGCCAATGGTAATAATATATTATGCTTCTTTATGTCTTTTTTTTTTCTTTTTTCTTTTTTTTTAAAAAAAAAATACTCTTTTCTCTTGTGTTACTGTGTTTGGTTCCCATGATAATGATGGAAAATAAAGGAAATTGGGGTTTTCTTGACACAGGAATTTTTAGGTAGGGAGCTAGATATTGGATGGCAGGTAGGGGAGGAGGGTGTGCTAAAGTGGCCCTTGTTCTCCTTTTCATGTAAATAGAAAGGCCATCTAATAGGAATCATTATTACTTGTAATAATGGGAGAATCAAACTGCATATTGTTTGAGTCTTGTAAAGTGGACATATATATATATATATATATATATATATATATATATATATATATATATTTTAATTTTTTATTGGCTAAAGGATGAAAGTTTATGTGCCTTTCTTCTAATAATTGATGTCATTGTGAAGCTAGCTTCGAATAAATTGTTTTAACATATCATCTATTCTGTCTCTGACATTGCATATATGGATATATGAGAAGTATTACCTTGTATTTATTATTGTTGATGGAAGAATGAAGATAAGTGACTTTGCAATTAGTCCCCAGAATACAACTTATGCTGGTTGCAATTAATCACTCTCAAGTCTCAAGTATTACCTAATCATTTTCCTTCATTTTCTTTTCCTCCTTGAATTTATTATTTGAACTAAAATATTTAACCACAGATCTTGTGTCTTTTCCTTAAACGAATAAATCAGTTGCATGAGAAAATTAATTGAGTATTTCCAATTTTCCATATGCTACTCTTGCTTCATTTATCTCTTTAGGGTTATCTGCTCTTAGCAGACCACAAGTTTTGTTTCATGGCTTTTGTTTTATGATGTCTAATTGAATAATCTGTCTCTACCATCCCTTTTATATATTTTTTTTTTCATGAATATCTGTTTGCAATTTATTTTCTTCATCCATTTTCTTTCCCCCTTATCAGAACTGCAGTGGTAGTCTGAACTCTGTGCTTCGGAGATGTGATAATAAGGTGTATTTTGCACGCCAAACATCTGCCTCTCTTGGCTTTTTTATGAGGCAAACTTCAGTTGAAGAGGTACTTACAGTGTTCTTATAGTTGAAATACTTCACAATGTTCTTCTATGTGCTTTTTTCTTTTAAATGATTAATTTCTAACTGGCTTGTTTAATAATATAAATTTCCAGGGTGGCTCAGCTTCCTTTATTGCTCCTAAAACCCATGGTGCTGCATCTGAAAGGCCTTCTAATGCAAGAGAACCATGTTTTGCTAAACCTGCAAGGAAAGAATCAGCCTTCTCAAATTCAGTGAACCAAAGAATGAATCAGGTGCAGGGTTGTGATTTTAGTAAACTGGAGCCTCCTGCATTTGCCAGGCCAAGCACACAGATTGGACGAGGAGACCAATTGCATGCTGAGAAAAAAATAAGCTATTCCGAAATTGGTGGTTAGTGCTTTGGAATCTGAAAATTATTAGAAGTTATACTAGCTAAGTAGCTTACAAACAGAAGTATATCTTTCTTTTTTTGGTTGCAGGAATTGAGTGGTCTCCAAGGATGGATGTTGTAGAATCAGAAAGCAAATATATTATCACAGTGGAAGTTCCAGGTGTCAGTATCAGTGACATAAGAGTGGAGGTTGATGATAAAAAGTATGAAGCATTTCTTATTTACATCCTTATATTAATTGTTATACTCATTTGCAATTTATGGTATTAGGCATTACTTCTCTCATTTAGTTCTGCCTAATCAATAACAAAAGGGAGGGGGTGAAGAAAAGGATAAGGCTAAATAAAATATTTTTGCATATCTAAGTCATTATTCAAATTCCATTGTGTTTGAGTGTTTCCAATCTATGCATACAAAGCTTATTTATGATTTCTGCATTATATACTGTGTAAATTCTGGAAGAAAAGCACTAAATGGAAATTTTAACGTTGGGCATTCTTTGTTATAAATCATTTGAAGTATTAGATGTCTTTTCTTTCTAATGAAAGTGCCATTATGTGAATTGTGACAGGTTGTCTGTCAAAGGTAGACGCTCTACTAGCTCTTTGACAGTTGCAGGTTGTCCAAATGCTTCATTTTCTTCATATCATAAGAGGGAGATACTCTATGGACCATATGAGGTGATCTGGCCGCTTCCTGCTGGTGTGAACAAGGACAGAATATCAGCTGAATTTTTGTAAGTATAACCACATTTTTTTAATGGAATTCACAAACTATAAAGGTTAAACCAGGGTACACAAGGCTTCCTCGACTTGTAAGGGCAACCTTACTCTTATATATTTCCAAAGAGGTTATTTCCCAAACTCAAACCCGTAACCTTTCGGTCAGGAGCAATCTCACCTCTGCTCCAAGGCTTGCAGGAATTCACATATATAATTTAAAGAAAAACCTCTCTTAATTTGTTCTATCACATTATATTACTTTCTAGTAGTTTTGGTTTTTGGGCAGTCGCAGGACTCATGAATGGTAATATTTCCAACATAGTTGGAAATTATTATTCTTTCAATTTGGAAGTTGTAATACAATACAAAAGGTAACTAATATACAACAGGAAGATCTTTTCTTTGAGGATTTTGGCTTGAAGCTTTGGCATTGTGCTAAGCCAAAAATAATGGGTTAATGAAATTTATTGAATATTTAATGTTCTTCGAGGTTTAAATGGTCTTTATAATTTGGCAGCTAGAAAACTACAATCATGATTCATAAATCTAAGAACTAATTATTCCCCTTTTATTCCCTCTTACTAATTATGATCACATTACTTTCTGAAACAATAGTAAGAGCCTCCTTTCATAGGCTCGGGAGCTCAAATAAGTTCAGTTTTACAATATCCTGTGTCATCACCTCTTCAAGTTTTCTAAACATTATTAAGATAGAGATTTCAAGTTTCTTAAAAGTTCTATTTGTATAGCTTAAAATAAGTTTAACCTTTTGTTTTGGTTCACTTAAAAAGTGCAACTAGTTCTATTTGTATGTGATTCAATTAAGTTTCATGATTCTTGTCATTTTATTTTATACATATATATGCTAGGGGTTGAAAGTGGCTTGAATAACCTCAAGAGATTGATGTAGTGGTAAATGCATATTATGTGGGGTATGTACACTGTAATATGTTTGATAGCTATGCCAATGGACACCACTTAACCTCAATACCTAAAAAAAAAAAAAGGCTTGAATCTATATAATTCAAATATGTATATGCTCCAACAGGATATGTTAATCATTTGTTTCGTTTCTTTCTTCATTTTCAGGGATGGATTTTTACAAATTATAATTCCTAAAGTTTGAGTATGACTCAGCAATATTGATTGTAGCACATATATGGTACACCTCATGCATTTGCTGATCATGGGTGGAGAGGGAATGGTCGATGTCCTGCATGGAAATCTGTTGTTTCTTCTTTATGAGCTATGTCCTGTGATATATATAATGTAACGAACTTGGTTTCATATACAAAAATATAGTTGTACAAAAGTATAGTTGAACAGAAAATATGTCTAAATGCATCATGACGTTGATTTTGTTAAGTGGCACGGGAGAATCCAAAATGAGGAATACTTATTAATGGGTTAAGCAATAAATCACATTCAATGGGTTAAGCTCATCCAAAATAGAAAATCGAAATCAAATTTCATGTGTAAAAGTAAAAGCCCAAAAAATAAAATTGAAAGGGTAGGAGTCAAGGAGCATAACAAATGAAATTTATCGGTGATCTGGCTCCCAAGATTATCGGTAGTAAGCAAACAAAGAAAAAATTAAAGTGAGGAAAGGTTCTTTATATTTCAAGAGCAATCTTCTAACCTGAGAATTTGAGATAGGATTTGGAGTAAAATTATTAATTAACTATCGATATACGATTTCAAAGATTCAAGTCTAGTCATAAAATTTGTTAACATTTTTGTATTGTATGTGTACGACTTATTAGATAAATCGATCTTTAAATGTTTTCTATTACATGTATAATTGAAACTTAACGTTCTGATCGGTGATGTTGACCGTTAAACGAGTGAAGTTCGTTATAGTAAGCATCTTTCAGCTTCCAGAAACTTTTCAACAGTGATCATCATTTCTGCATCTTCTTTCATTTTCAACATATGAAGCAGTATCTGCACAATCAGAATCAGATAATCCTTAATATGCATCATGAACGTGATTTTCACATACATATTCCTTGCATTTTCTTTAAGCGAATAATGTTTCTTATGATATAAAAGATAACACATATAAAAGTATGTGAGATATATATATATATTTTTTCTCTCTTCTCCTCACATGGCCTCACAGACTTTTATATATGTGTAGAAGATAAATTTATCTCCTACAACATTAGAAACATTAATCCCTTTCTTTAAGTGTCACTATCAACCATTTCTTGAAAATTTTACTAGTAAACCTTAGAATGCAAAAAAAGGATAGAATATTGTGATTATTTTTTTCATGTTTACTTTATTTACTTCTTCTCAACAACGTTAGATATTGAGATTTTGATCTAATAATGTTAAAAATAAAACATTTAATTTGTTTGTAAACTCACATTGACGGCTTCTTCATGATCAGTGTTTTCTTTCTGCTTTCCTTTTCCACTGCGTTTAGGACGAATGCCTGTTGCCTCGTATCTTTTGACCTCTTTCAAAGATCGACAAATGAATTTTTCTTCCCAATGGAAATAGTACTACAAAAAACAAATGTCATTAAGTGAATCATTTTAGAACAGTGCAACAAATTAAAATGAGTTGATGTGCTGTAAAAAGAGGAAAATGAAGAAATATGAAAATAAAATATGAAAAAAAAATGATTTCTATATTGAAAAGGTGCACAACGAATATTAGTTGCATTTCTGATGAGATTGCATATTTTTCATTGCACCATTAAAAGAAAAATACCTAAAATGAGAATATATATGTTAGAGAGGTATATTTATAGGGTATATAATTTGTTTTATCACTTATAGTTACATAGGTACATATATATTTCCATGGAAGCTTGGGGTTGAGGATTCAAATTTGAAGTTACATACATACCTTATCCCATTTTCCATTGTTTCGCTGTTTGGATGTACATCTCCAAATTGCACTGTATTTTACTTTTTGAGGCTTACTAGTTTTTCTTGATTTTGGAGTTGACTTCCTAGATGGCCTTTCATTCTGAATCCACAATAAGTCAATAACTCACCCGTTTACAAAGATGAAAAAGGTATTGATAAAAACCAAACTAAATCACATTTTCAGTTTGCAAATATATAATTAAGGGGAAAGTTCACAAACTTTCTTATAATTTTGACTTGAATCACTTATGCCCTATTTTATTTTTTTTAATCATTTATCTTCTATGAATTCTTTCATCCAAACTTATTCTTAATATCGGTAGAAATCAAATTAATATGTCTATTTTATCTTTTTTATAATAAGAAAATAGATTGAAGATAAAATAAAATAAAAATAAGATTAAATATGTTGGAAACTTATAACACTTATGAAAATAGTCTGAGCACAAAAAAAAAACAAAATAGGTAAATGAATAAGTTTAAAACAAACATATTTTTCTTCCAAATTAACAATAAAAATAATATTAAGACCAAGTCCACATCCTTGTTTTAATAAAACTTCAGAATCAATCGTGCGTATATATATTAGTCTATTTTTATCTTATTTTTGTTATTAGTCTATTCTTTTATTCTAAGAAGGGTAAAATAGGTAAATGATTTAAGTTTCTAACGGCGTTAAGAGTGAATCTGAATGAAAGAAACCATATAAGAGGTAAATAATTGGGGGGGGGGGGGGGGGGGGGGGGGGGGGGGGGGGATAAGGTTATAAGTGATTCAAAGCACAATCATAGGGTTTTTTTTTTGATTGAACCTTTTCCTATAATTAATTAGATGAAATTAGGGTTTCATGAAAAGATTGGAATCTCAGTAATCCAGAAATATACGTACACACCTTTTTTTCTAGGATGCTAAAATTAGCTTCATCAGGCAATGCAATGGATAACGGGACTGCATCAATAATGACTTCCTCTGATGTTAGCATCATAGGGGTTGTTAGGGAATGTTGCTGTAATAAACATAACATAAACAAGCAAATAAATTATTAATGTTAATGTTGAAAACAAGACATAAAGCAAAAGGAGTTGCCAAAGAAAACCCATAAGTTTGATGAAGCTAATATGCATCTTATTAGTGGAGACGTCAAAGGGGGGATTCGAATCCATGCATATAGAAAATATAAATTCTTATCCAAATCCCTTTAATTAGCAGTATCAATCTCCATTGCGAAATTTTTTAGGGTACTGAGTAAATTGTGTTTACTGAAACATTCTGATTCTTACTCTTCCAAAGACCTCCAGCAAATTGTGTGTATGGTACTGAGAAAAATGTATCTATATACTTGCAAAGATATGAGACAAGAAAAGTAAACCCTCGGACTCATGTTATAAAAAAGTTGTAGTAAGAGGAAAGGAAGTTAAGAAATAAAAGATGTTTTTTATTTAAAAAAAATATTTTTAAGTGTTACCATTTTTTTTTTGATTTGCCATCCTAGAAAATATTTTTCTAACTCATCCATTTAGAGAGACAAACGTGAAAATAAACATGTATATTCTAAGAAGACAAAAGCATTCGAAGAGAGAAAATATAGACATGGAGACAAGTTATTTTTACTACCCTATATAAAAATAAGTAATTTATTCTTCTCAAACACAAATGTGTCGCGGTGAGTTAAAGTATTGCTCTAGTGCAAATGTATAGATTGTTCAACTATCTTAACTTTAATAACCTATTTATTACACTGAAAGAAAAGTTAATCTAAATTTGATTGCAAGTAGGGAAATGCAATAAATCATGTTACAATATATTAATTAAGGTGCGTGTTGCATGGGTGAAACGTTTGGCTTAAAGTGAGCTAAAGTATTGCCGAGGGAAAAAGGTTGGACAGTTCAAATATCTTGACTTTAATAACCTATTTTTTTATTTTTTATTTTTGGTATCCAGACTTTAATAACCTACTTATTAAAGGTTTATTGAATTTCTCTACTCACCAACAAATTCAGATTGATTTTTCTTTCAGGTTAACAAGTAGGTTATTAAAGTCAAGATATTTGTCTTATCCGAAAAAAAGGTCAAGATATTTGATCCAGACTTTCAGACTCGGCCACACTTGAGCAAACTTTCCGAATTTCATATAAACATTACGTTGATAGAATAAAGTGTTTTTTTTTTTGTCGTTAATAAATATTATAGGGCTCAATTTAACTTAAAAAAAAAGTTGATTTGTGATACTTCTGAAATTTAAAATAGATTCATGTTAGTCTTTTTGAAAAATTAACGTGGATCTTATTTGAATTCAGAGGAATCACAAGTCGACTTTTTATTTCTAAGTGTTTAAAACGAGTCTTGTGATTTTTGTTGAGGATTCAAAAGGTACTTTACTCAATATTATAAGGTCTTTCTTTTTTCATACTCGCAAACAAATTTAGGTTGATTTTTCTTTCACATGCACACACATTAGGAATGATCGACTAATTTCACTAGTGTGATCTTACACCTATTATTAGCTATTGAATCCACTTGCATCTAATAGTTCTAATTTATTAATCATGTGAGTCGCTATGATGTGAGATCAATTGTTAAGGTTGATTATACGACTTATTATTCTTACATTTGTGTGAGTTAATCTTTCCTATATGTGTGTGTGAGTGTGGCGTCGAACCAAATAACACCGGTATAAAATTAAGAAGTCTTAGACTCAACTTAATTGTTGATTTACTTTTATTTAATGACCTTAATTTATTAGTCATGTGAACTGTTGAGTATAAGTACAATCAATAACTAAGATTAAGAGTATAACTTATATTGATATAAATATTATAGTAAAATCCTACGAAGTTTGAGCGTATACTCAATAATGTTTATGTTATGGGCTCTTAAGTAATACTCATATTCTAGAAAGCCCAATAAAAGTAAACAACTAAAAGAGAAATAAGGAAAGAATTTCAAGAAGATATTAATCATATTATATCTACAGCGGATCAGGAACTGGACCCCTAATATTTACAAAAAGTTCATAATTTCACTACCCACAGATAAACTCTTTATAAATAAGAGATAAAACTTACATATACATACTTTTGAATTCATAGTTGTCACTGTATATATACCCCACGTCTTGGCTATGCTATTTTATTATTATACATGGTGACCCGTTAATCTCTAAAGTATCTCCCTCGTAAATATGTGAGAAAAGACATACAGATTCTATAAAAACATATCAATTATCAAATTGTACATCTCGATCCATAGGATCGAACAGTTTTAAACAACAAATCTTCCAACGTCCTTACTTTTAAAATATTTGTATGTTCACCTATAAAATTTCTCTTGGTTATAATTAAGGAATCTTTTACAGATTCGGTACCCATTGACTAGATTTTTTCGCGAGTAGGGAGAGTACTATTTGAGGACCTAACGAGCTCTAAATTATTCTTCAAAATTTTACAACTTTTAGATCCTTC